GTTGGTAAAAATGGATTAAAACCAAGTCCAGGAAAGGTTGAAAAGATACAAAAATTAACAGCACCTATAAATATAAAAGGTGTAAGGTCAATATTAGGGTTATGTACGTACTATAGAAAATTTATTAAAGATTTTTCAAAAATAGTAAAACCAATAACATCTTTATTGAGAAAAGATGAAAAGTTTGAATGGGGCATCAAACAACATGAAGCATTAGAAATATTAAAAAGGAAATTAACCGAAGAACCGGTGTTAAGACAACCAGATTGGTTAAGGAAATTTATATTAATTACAGATGCTTCAGGAATAGGATTAGGGGCAGTGTTAGCTCAAAAAGATGATAAAGGTCAAGAATACGTAATAGAATATGCCAGTAAAAGTTTAAACAGGACAGAACAAAGATGGCCAATAACCGAACAAGAATGTTATGCAATTGTATGGGGAATACAACATTTCCATAAATACTTGATCAATAGAAAATTTGAGGTAGTAACAGACCATGCAGCTTTGAAGGGATTAATGACTGCAAAAGTACCAAAAGGAAAGAGATCAAGATGGGTCATGGAATTGGAACAGTATGATTTTGAAATAACCCATAGACCAGGAAAAGAAAATAAAAATGCAGATGCCTTATCAAGAATAATATAAATAGATGGGTAAAAGAGTTACTTTTCAAAAATAAAAATGGAACAAGTGGTAAGAAATACAAATCATAAAATAAAGGATATAATCGAAAATTTAGAAGGTATAACAAAGGAATTAAACAGGATAAATTATAACTATAAATTCAAAGCCAAAAATTTTGAAGATAGTGAAGAAAGACCATTAATATTGGAAACTCAAGAGGAAATATTACAAATAGAGGTGATATTAAGTAAAGTAAACAAGCTAAAATTATCAGAATTATGTAAAAATGGGACCTAAAATAATAATCATATGTGGAGTTGATGGTACTGGAAAAACATTCATTGTAAATAAACTTATAAAAGAATTTGAAAAAGTAGGACAAAGTGTGAGGTTTAACACCTTTAAAAGGAGAAGAGAGGACAATGATAAGTATAAAATACCAAAGAAAGGTATAGAATGGGAATTCAGGAAGGAAGTTGTCGAACAAATCAACAGGAGAATGGAAGAACATGATAATGAGGATTGGTTAATATTAGATAAAAGTCCCTATAGTGAGTACTTTTATCAACAAACACCATCATTCGACAGAGGATACATAACAAGATATGAGAACCACCTATTAGAAAAGGAAGTATTTAGGAACAAAAGGATAATTGATGAATCAATAGTGATATTTTTAGAAAATGAAAAATGTTGGGAAAATTACAAAGGTAGAGAATATTCGAAAAAGGATCAAGGACATAAAACATCATACCCATTATTAGATGAAGAAAGATATATGGAGATGGTGAAATCATTTAAAGAATGTCAAGATATTTACGAAGGAGAAAAATATGCTAATATTAAAATATCAAATAATGACACAGATTGGGAAAGAGTATATAATAAAATAATAGAATTAGATGGAGATAAACCACCAATAGAGGTTAAAAATGTTGAGATTAAGGATAACATCAGAGTAACTGATGGTAAAAAGCATATTGAGAAAAATGGTAAAAACATCAGAATAATAGAAGACTTTGAAAAGATGGGAGCACTATATTTAGCTCACAGTCATGAATTATCGGCACATATGGGAATCAAAAGTACTTATGATAATTTAAAAGATAAATATTATTGGGAAAATATGCTGAATGATGTTGAAAGATATGTAAGGACATGTGATGAATGTCAAAGAAGAGGAAAACCACAAGGGAAAAATGAATTACACCCAATTAAAGTAGTAGAACCATGGTATCAAATCGGGATTGACTTTGTTGGACCATTGAACACAACAACAAATGGTAATAAATACATCATAGTAGCAATGGATTATTTTACAAAATGGCCAGAAGCCAAAGCAGTAAAAGAAGCAACTGCCAAAGAAGTATCAAAATTTATTTATGAAGACATCATTTGTAGACATGGATGTCCTATGAAAATATTGAGTGATAGAGGAAGTCATTTCAATAATGAAATGATTAAGGAATTAATGGAAAAATTTAAAATTAAATGGAATTTTTCTACAAGTTATCATCCAGAGACAAACGGACTTGTTGAAAGATTCAACCGAACATTAGGTCAAGCATTAGCAAAATTATCAACCAAAGATGATTGGGATCAAAGGATAGCACCCATATTATTTGCTTACCGAAATAAAAAGCATAGTTCAACAAAAATTCGACCATTTTATCTAACATATGGAAGAAATGTACGGACAATAATGGATGAAAATATCAAAGAAATTAACCTAAGTGATAGAATAGTTGGATTATTAGAAGAATTACCAAAAATCCGATATGAAGCCAAAGAACAAATACTGAAATCTCAAACAAAACAAAAAGAGTATCATGACAGAAAAATAATTAAAGAACATACCTTTGGAATTGGAGATAAAATATTACTTTATGATAAGGCCAAAGCACAACAATTATCTGGAAAATTGGAATCAAAATGGTTGGGACCATTTTACATTCATGAAATACTACCAAACGGAGCCTACAAAATTAAAGATATTAAGGGTGTAATCAAGAAAACACCTGTAAATGGAGAACTATTAAAGACTTACCATACACCGATGAGTAAATGATAACCATCATCAATTGACTTAGAAAAATAAAGATAATTTATAATCATGTGAAATAAAATCACATGACATAAAAATAATTTTGGAAAAATAGGTATAATTAATGAAAATTCCAAAGAAAGACCTAAGTGAAATCCGGTACAAGAAAACCGTGAAATTCAGAAGAACATATGACAAACCACGGGAACAGCCGCAGGACGCAGCTAAGTCAAGTAATGACGCATGCTTGATTTAGTGGTATAATTCGCACCTACCACTTCGAGACACGAGTTCGATTCTTAGAATAAATTTAATGAGGGCATTAAATTTTCATGCGGGGGATAGTTGTAATGCCGTAGTATACATAGTAAATTTATTAATTGTGAGGCGCAGTATTATATTTAATCTTAGTATATAAAATTTTAGTTTATTTTTATTTTTTTTAGTTAGACCGAAAAGTCGTTAAACTATTGATCAGGTGATTCAAGGATAATTGGTCCGAGATGACATTAAACTATCAGTCACATTTAAGGATAAATAAAGATCCGAAAGATACTAAATTAAATGAAGTCAAGTGATCTGAGGTGTCAGGTGACTAATTTGCTGATCATTACGTTAGTATTATAAATCATAATTCAGGAGGTCACGATGATCAAATGGATACAGAATTAAGATGATGGAAATACTTTGAAATAATGGAAATACTTTGATAATTTAAATCCATGAACCGAAATTATGAATTTTTGGTTACACGAAAACAAATATAAAAGGGCGTGAAGATCACCTTTTGAGAAGGACATTATTCTTGGACGAATTTCGATAATGAATTATTTATTAGTTATTTAATGTTATTAAACCAAGCATATTATTGTATTTATTTATATTATTAATAAAGAGATATTTTGTTAATACCTAAGGTGGCAACGTGATTTATCACGGGCTTAGGCGTTACAACACGTCGATTTCCGATGTTACGAGACGATTTACGCCGATGTATAGTTGCAGATTTGTGTATATCAGTTAACTATATTAAAGATATTGATTTTATATGATAAATTTACTTATATATCGTTTTTATATTTATTTAATTTATTCAATTTATTTATTTATTATTAGTTATATTATTTATTTTCTTTATTTGTATTGTTTATATGTATACAATTTTATTAGAATTTATTAGAAGATAATTGTGTGAGAATTAGTTCAATAGTATTAATTGTCCAAAATTATCAATTGTGTTCTATTTAAAAGTGGCTTACAATAAAAATTATCGCTATTGTGATATTGTGATGAAACATTAACGATTAGACATCTATAGATTAGATTTCGCCTTTGATTATTAGAAAAAAAAAGATGGCAGTAAGATATAAATACGCCTCTACCAACTCCATAATAGAACAGTGACCTATATAGTTGTTCTTGAGAAAATTCCCCTATCACCTTTATTCGTTTTATTGTAGACCGAAAGTGTCTTTTAAGAAATAAAATTGTTACGTTTGGTTATTTTACATTATTCTATATAAGATTTATCTTATACATTATCGCGTATTACCATTTATCGTATTTTATAGTTGTTTACCTTGACGATTCTTAACGAACAATACTGGAAATACCTTTGGATAGGTAGTATTGAGTAAGAATTTCGTTGGTATCCGTGTAGATATACGGTATAAGTCATTCGCCATTCGTCTCTTAATTACCGTCATCATTCGGTAACACAATCAAAAATTAATTCTTATGATGATATAATATTTGAATGGATACCATACAACCAGTTTAATAATATCAAAGAGATAGGCAAAAGTGGTTTTGCTAAAGTATATTCAGCAATATGGGTTGATGGTCCATTATTTTATAATAGAGCTACACGAATAGATACAAGAAATAAGGATAAAAAAGTTGCATTAAAATGTTTATATAACTCGCAAAATATCACAAGTGAATTTCTCAATGAGGTATGTGACTTTTCAGTAAATTCAATCCTAATTACTGTATATATTTTTTAATAAAATCATATTCTTTCATATTTTAATAGACTAAATTATAAATCGTTATAATTATTATGAAAATAAAATACTTAAAATATGTGGAATATCTCGAAATCCAGATACGAAGGAATACATTATAGTTCTTGATTATGCAATAGGTGGAAATTTTAATTATTGGATGGTCAAAAATTATAGCAATCTTAAATGGTCAGAAAAATTGACTATACTTTTAATATTAGTATGGGTCTTGAAGAAATTCATCAAAAGAAGATGGTTCACCGTGATTTTCATACAGGAAATATACTATTCAATATTATTGCTAACCCGGATAGAATTAATGATAATACTATACATATTTCAGATATGGGATTATGTGGAGATGTTAGTAATACCGATCAAAATAATATTTATGGAGTTATACCTTATATAGCTCCCGAAGTGTTAAAGGGGGAACTTTATACTCAAGCAGCAGATGTATACAGCTTTGGTATGATCATGTATTTTGTAGCAACTGGAAAACAACCCTTCGCCGATTGTGCACATGATGAGTTTTTTAGTATTAAATATTTGTAGTGACCTGAAGTTAATATGCCAGAAGCACCAAAATGTTATATTTATTTGATGAAGCAGTGTTGGAATTCTAATCCAGATAATAGACCAAAAACAACTGAAATTTTTGAATCAATTAAATTATTTTGTGGCTGCTATAATCATGTAGATGACTTTGAAAACTATATAGGAATTAAAATGGAGCAGCAACATTATGAAATTGAAAACCAATTCAAAGAAGCAGAAGAATACAGAAAATCACATCTCACATCATTTGATGAAAATAAACGATTAGCTACTCATTCACAAGCTATTTATACATCACGATTACTCAATCCATTTACAAAAAACATCCCAAAATATGATAATGTTGACAATAACACAGTAGAAATTATTGATTTTACACAGTAAGTTTTATAAATTTTATATATTTTATAATTTTTATAATTTTATTTTATTTAATCCAAAATCAATTTTTATACAGATTATAAATCAAATATAATATGAACAAATAAATTGTATTTTTAGCTATTAAACCTAGCTAGATTGAAAATAACCTATAGTAGTATTATATTATTTATTCTTATTTTATATATTTGTTCAACACTTGATTATAGAATACATGTAAAATTTATTTTACAAAATAAAATCAGTTTGTAATTGAGCAAGTAGTAGCTTCAAATTTATTATTTAAAATGTTGTTATTTCGGATAAATTGCTACCTTAATTAAACTATGACAAAAATTTTTGTTCGGTTTAATTTCTTTTTCTTTTTTTTCTCGCAAAGACTTCTCTTCTTCTTTGAATAGTAGCTGATAATAAGGAATTTGTATTCATTATTAAATTTAGTAATAAAATATTTTATGTTCTATGTATATTTTAATGCCGTAAATCTATAATGTCGTGAATAAATATCTGATGATTATATTCCTGTAAAAAATGTTGTTCCTTCCATGTTTTTCTCGTGAATGTAACCTTTTTTTTTTTTTTGTTTCAAATGGTGTTTATTACCGATTTTGTTAGTATAAGATGCAGAACTTACACCGGCAAAACCTGTATAACCTACATTTATGCCCATCGAATAGATGTCACTCCTGTCATACCACGCCATTGTTCGTTATTCTTCCCAACTACGAACAATGTTGCCGACCTACTCCTTTAGTTCGGCTATTGTATTATCTAACAGTTACACCTCTTTACTGTTGAACCTTAAAATTAAATTAACTCCTCCAAAAGTAACAAAAATACACAAATTTGAAATGGTCATTTTTTTTGCTAGCTAAATTTGACATCGTGTACATACAGTACGTACATTTTTTGTAAAAAACATTATCATCTACGATATTTTAGCAAAAAAACCCAGTGAATGTAACCTTAAATCATGGAAATTTTCATCTTTCACACCTTAAATGTATCATTTTCACGGAATTTTTTACGAAAGCCACGGATAAAGAATGGAAATATTCGGATAAAAATTTTCTTATAGGATATATAGGATATTATTATTTAAATCTGATAATTAATATTATTCAATTATTTTTTTAAAAAAATGGGCTGAAAATATTTACTGTGTTAAGACTTACGATATGACAGTTACTAGTCATATATTGTATTTTGTAATTAAAGTTTCAATCGCACCTATAATACAAATAATAATTTTAATGATATATATCTACTATTATATTTTCTTAACAAAATTAAGTTCTGATTTATTTAGAATACAATTTTAAAAGTGGTATTTTTAAAGGAGCTTTAGTGAATTATCCTTTTTAACTTTATAATTATGTTGTTACATGATGTTGTATAAAATATAAAAGGAGAAAGATCACGATTAACTTATTAATATTATTTTAAAAAAAAAAAAATTTAAAATAATGGTTTATTATTTTCATTTATTGGTCCATATATTTTTGAAATACTGTACCTATAAAATTCTATTTTAAACTTAATAAATATATATTTGATCCAAATTTAAATAGGTGATACATTATTAAAGTTCCTCATTTTACTTTATATTTAATTTTAGATGAAGATATATCAAATTATCATTTATTAATTTGAAAGTTTTGGATAACAGATAATATTATATAAGATTTAGTTTGCCAAGACATTTGCATCAAACAAAATGCATAGATTACGCTAGAAGTTAACCATAATAGATAGATTTTAATAATTAAACTACCATTTAGAATTAATGGCAAAATTCGGAGTAGAATTTTAATAACGGTGCTTTATAATAAAATTGAAAATGATCATGCAAAATACACGTGATAAAATGGTTGTGCTTCTGCTTCGACCCGGATGAAACCCGTCATCCGGATTACACAAAAAATAAATCCGGATTTTATCCAGATTGATCCGGATTCTTTATCCGGGTCAAAAAATCCGGATAGAAACTGAAATTCGGATTGGGATTTACAACTGATCGGCAATAATTCTGGCCAGAATTCATAACGCCGGCCGGAATTACAAATTTGTGTAACATTAAATTTCAAAAAATTTTTGCCCGGTGGCTAAACTATTTTTTCGGTATTTTCGGCCAGAATTACAAATTTGGCCAAAATTATCTAAGACCGCGAAATAATAAAATAAATAAAATAAATAAATAAATAAATCTGAGACCGCGAAATTTTCATAATTCCAATTTTATTCAATACTTTTTTTTAAAACAATTTCATATTATTTCAGCATTGTCTCAGACTATTGTTTAACATTTCTTTCGTAAATTAATTATGAAATTTTGGATAGTAAACAAGATATTTTTATATACAGCTAAAGATTACTATAGATAGATGTGTTGGTGGGTTAGTAGTAAGGCAATTTTTAAAATGTTAAAAAGGATTTGTTTCTTTCTTTCAAAAATTAAAGAATCATTTGAATCAAATTATATAACACTAAGATTTTAATTTTTAAAAAAAATTGTCATAATTATATAAATTTTATTAATATCTCAATTTTTTGTAATTTGATCAGAATAATTTTTCATTTAAAAATAATAATTATTATTTCATTGTAAAAAAAATAATAAAAAGTTTTTTCTTTTGAACGTTTGAATGTGAAAAATGATTCTTCATTTAGTAAATTATTGCATTTTAAACTTCAGTTGATCAACATGTGCAAGTGTTTTCAGTGTTTTTACTTTTCAGTATTTAAAATGTGTCTATAGTCGCACTTTAATGAAAAAATATATATACTTATTTCTATAAATCTTATTATATAAAGTTACGGTGCTATGCTAAAAAAATAAATAAAGATTCATCCAGATTCTGGTTCAAACCGGATATTTTTCATCCGGATTAGTATAATTCGGATGAAAACCGCAAAATCCGGATATCCGAAAAAAAAAATATCTGGATCGATCCGGATACGGATCGAAGCACTAGTTGGTTCAACACCTCGTGACTCTATATGATATGCAACTACTTTTCAAGATAAATAAAATAATATAACTTGGCTGTTAAGTTTGTTATTAGTATAAAAATTCAATATAACCAGAATAATTAATTATAAAAAAATTTTGTGTGTGGAACTTTGTTTGAGTATAACAAGTTTTAGGCTTGGTAAATCAGTGGCAACTATAGTGAACACTAATATTTTTTCACATTCCTTCTATCACTTCTGTTCCTGCCACATTGTCATCATTGTCATAAGACATATAATATTTTCCAATTTTGCAGCAATCCAGCATGTGTACAATAAAAAAACAAGAAACGATTTCCATAGAAAATCTTGTAGTCGAATCAAGATTTTTGAAAATGATCAAGTATTTCTACTAGTTTTGGGTAGTGTGCGAGCATAACGCGAATCTCTCTTATAATCCTGAGGGATTTTTTTAGATTCATATAGCGTTTTTTGTCAACAACTGTGCTTATACTATAATAAAAATAAAAATTAATTGAAAAAATGGCGTTAATATGCAAGGTTGGGTTAATGTATTAGTATATAGGTTTTCTAGTTTTTCTTTTTATCTTGTAATTTTTGAATCAATAATTTTTGTATTGTTGTTTACTTTTGTTACACTTAATAAAATTGAAATGCAATCTTAGTTACCTCATTTAGAATTTTATTAATAATATTTTGATTTATATATTATTGAGTTGACTTTTTTAATTCATTTTCTTCATTTTCTTGCATACTCATCAAAATTATAAATTAATAAACCATCCTTCCATATTACTGAATATTTTATAGTAAATTCATCCTTTCTTGACTCTTTAATGTTACAATACATGTGTCCGAAATTTTTTTTTAATTTTAGCAACATAACCCACATTACAGTTTCAAAGCAATGCTTACTTGCTGATCTGATAATAAATCTCGGATAATTTGATTTTTAGCAGACTTAAGAAAGTCTCGGACAAATCTGCAATAATTTCGGCCAGATCTTTGAATTCTCAGCCATAAAGTATATTAAATACAGATTGCTGAAAGTCTGTTGAAATTTTTACAAGTGGTCAAAACTCCTCAAAGGAGTGGATTACGAATTGCAGATCACTTTTTTGTCATGTGGCCGAAATAGCCGCCCAAGTGTATAATAAACGTTATTGAACTGATTATATAATATCCCATTCAGCTATAATACCATAGTTGTTATTTTCTAATTGCATTACCTGAATTCAAATATCGATTTTTACATTTCCACTGGTCCAAATTATTTTCTAGATCATTTTTTTTAGCATGGTTTAAACAATCTAAGATATATATATTTTTCACATTTTTCACATTTTTATCATATAAATTATAATCAGATGCATTCAACGTATATTGTGCAATAATTATAGTGCATTGTTATTCCAAAGTGGTACAAAATTTTAAAAAGTAAAGTAACGTAAGTAGGAACGCGTTGTTAAAGATGGAATCTGTAGATAAAAGGAAAAGAGAAAGAGTAGAATGTTGATAAATGATGAAGAAATAGGAACGAGTTAATTATGTGGAATGCAGTTTTTTGCATGGATAAGAAAAATAAATCGAAAAGTAAAAATTATAGAAGAATTGAAATTCATTTAATAGTACCTTTAAATATAGATAATGAAAATTCGCCTGATTTAAGTATTAAGTGTGAAAGTTGTAATAAGAATATTAAAAAAAGTAAGGAATGATTAAGAAAAGAATGTTGGAAATAAAGAGAGTCGTGAAATACAGTAAAATTAAGAAGAGATACAGAAAATGGAGTGAGTTTTAAATCTTATGAAACTTTATAGTAATATTTTGGTTAAGAATGAATTAACGAAAAAAATGAATTTTATAAAATAAGATATTAGTTACAATGGTAAAATTGTGGTGATGGATAATTATATTATTGGAGAAGAAAAGATGATAGAATTTTTTAAAAAAGTATCTTCAAAGATGTTATCAAAGATAAACAAAATGAATTATGATTATAACGATGAAAAATAAAAAAGTTGTTTAGTAATGGCGAGAGAAGAAATTAATATGTTGCTTTATGGGCAATTTTGAATAAATATTTTGATAAAAAATGAAGCTAAAGTTAGATATGGTAATTAATACAGAGTATTCTAATATTAATAGAGCGGTATTAATAGTGATCATTATAATAGCAATATTAATAATTAGATCGAAGATTACTTTATATATTAATGCGGGAGATGTAATAAATAATATTCTTTTTAATTTTAGTAATATAGCTAATGGTAGAAAAAAGTTAGATAATATACATTTTGTGGAATTGAGTTTTATTTAAAAATGGTTACAGAGTATTGACATTAGAATCTACATGACAGAAAAAATCATGAGATATTGAGATATGTATGAATATAAGAAAAGAAATGGAAGGTCAAATAAAAAACTTAAATATTAATCAATTGAAAGGATTTGTTGCTAAAATTAATAATACCAATATTTTGACTGAAGAATTTTCCTTGTACTGGAAATTCTTTTTGATTATAGGAGATACTAGGCAAACTAAAAACGAACGCAAAATATAAATGAAATGTTAAAAAAGATGATGTTTTTATTATAATACATAAGAAATAGATTGGTACAAGTATGGAGGACAGCAACTAAAGGGCGTTTAAGATTAACAATGTTTTGAAAGATCTGCCTACGTAATAGTGTTTTATTTAATAGAAACACTAATATGATTTAATAATTCTGGAATGTGTCCTCGATGCAATATATTTGGGAGCGCAGCAACAATAATAGAGATGATTGAACAATCGATTATGGAACTTAAGATAATTTATAAGTTCAAACCAAATAACGAAATGTCAAATATTAAGACCGTTAATATAGATTTTATTAAAGTAATGCGTGGAAACTCAAAGCTTGGGAATTAGTTAGAGGCTTATTTAATAATAAGTTTAAGACAAAAGTGTTATAACAGAGTTATGGGACAGGTGTTTTAACAATATAAGGAAAGGATTATTTCGGAAAATAGTATAAATGTTGAAGTTGTTAAAAGGAGGAAAACGAAAGTTTATGTAAAAAACAAACAAAAAAAATTTATCAATTTTAATGAAGAAAGAAAGAGTAAGTAATGTTATTATTGTTATGGCTAATCAAACTTGACTCACGATACAAAAAATTAAATTAGTATAGTTAAATAGAATAGAAATATTACTTTTTAGTATTTTTATTTAATTTTGTAATGGAAATTTAACTTACTAATTAATAAAAGAAATGCGTTACTAAAATAAAATATCTCGTCATTACACGAACATGTAAATATTTTCTGTTTTATACAAAAAAAAAAAAGAAAAATAATAAATACATAATATATAATAAATTTAAAGTTACGAAGTACTTGATATTGTATTTAGCCTATAAAATTGATATTTTACTAATATCATAGTTTAATTTATTAAGCAAAAAATTATGCTATCATATTTAACTAGTAGTTCCTAAAATAGTTGCGATTATAATAATAAAACAATATAACTTTTGACTATTCACTTTTATAATTTATTTTTTGCTTTATATAAAATACAAAATATTATAACTTCTTAGCATAAAATTTAAGTTATTAAATCATAAAAATAAAAAATTTTGATAGAATACAAACGAATATTCATACTTTAATTTTTTCGCTTATTATCCAGTACTAAAATATCAAACAATATTAAAAGCTGAATACAATATAAGCATTTTGTAACTTTAAATTATGTATATTATATATCATTATTCACTTTATTAGTATCGAAATAAATCAAATTAATCAATGTCTACCCAATATCGACATAAAGTCAATAAATTAATTCAACAAATACGCGAGTAAAAATAAAAATTTTAAATATATCTTATCTCACAATAATAATAACAAAAAAAAAAAACCCCTAAAAAATCAGTTTTCTAAAACTAAAAACAAAACTAAACTAATTAGATAAATGTATTATTAACTTTTGATTTGGAAAATTTTACGTAAATCACGTGGTCTCGGCTTTATCCTTAGGAGGAGTTAGGACTACTTTGTAGCCTCTTTTCACTCTCACTAATTAAATCTTTTCGTTCAACGTAGTATATTTTTGCTTTATTCATCATAATTTATGTAGTACAAAATTTTTAATTAGCGTCATTTTTTTTATTTTATTATTTATTTGTCAAACACCCTGCGAAATTTACACCTATGACAATACAAATTTATATAACAATGTACCTATCTAAAAATTTAAACTAAATTTATTCTACGTCTTTTATAAAATATTGAAAACGTTTAATAAATTCACGAAAACTTTCAATACAACTGCTATAGTACTATTTACGTTACATAAAACAAAAGAAAGAGAAAATCAATATCCGATCAAACAAAATCTATTAAAGTTATTGCATTGGACCCGTAAGGAAAATCTTACTTCCATAAGAAAACAACAACAAGTACATAGGAAAGGATTGTGCTATAACTAAACTATGTGCATGACCGCCACAACAGTCACACTTTATTTCTAGTTATTGAGTAAGTCAAAGACATCTAAATTATAACCCAAAAAGACCGATTCATCAGCAAATCTCACATGTCTTAATCCCCAGGTAATCGTACGCCAGAAATTCAAAAGCACCCCTTATAAATAAGGACGGTCAACGGTCCGGTCCTGGTCTTCATAGGATCGGACCACGGTTCAGATTATTATGGCGCAGTAAGACCATCAGTCCGTCTTATAAATTATTTTTTTTTTTTACCCTAGTAAACATTTCTTGTGTTAAGAAAGTCTGCCCTGTTCCTACTAATTCCTAAAAAAAGAATAAAAAAAGAGGTAAATCAATTAATGTAACATATTGACGTTGATCGGTCTTTTGAAGACACGGTCCTAAAAGACAGTCGGTATTGTTGATCCATCGGACGATCACGAGGGCTATCTTTATTAATTGATTAAAGAATTGTATGCACGTATTCTAAAAATCGAAAAATCGATAAGTTCCGGTTAAATAAAGAGCCGATGTCTTTAATCGTCACAAAAATGATTGACTTCGGTTAAATTTATGCCGAGCCTATTTGTTTTAAAACGACAAACTGAAATTTAATTCGTTCCCTTAGTGTCACACAAATGCATGACATGACGATCGCTGTACAATGACATAAAATACAGCCAGAAGGAACTTTGAGTTTTTATTTTTGCAAACGTTGAAAATTTTATAATGTCAAATGTTAATGAATGTAAAAGATGTGGAAGACATAATTATAATTATGATAAATGGGGATGGTGCAAATTATGTCAAAAAAATAATTTAAAAAAAAATTTCACAAATTGGACTAGTGGAAATGAAAAAATCGATAGTTTAATTCAGGAAAAGCAATTAGAAATTAATAAATATGATGATATTATAATTGAATGGATATCATATGATCAGCTCGATGATATTAAAGAGTTAGTAGTAAGAGGTGATTTCGGGAAAGTTTCTACAATAAATTATGCAATATGGAAGGATGGTCCAATGCAATATGACATAAATAAACGTGAATATTCAAGAAATCAGAGTACAGAAGTCAATTTAAAATTATATAACTTACAAAATACTACTAATGAATTTTTTAATGAGGTATTAGTTTTTTATTTAATTTAAATAATTAAAATAAAATAATAAATTTTCTTTATTTTAATAGGTTAATAATAATGAACTTAAAATATATGGGATATCCCAAAATTCAGATACAAAAGATTACATTTTAGTCCTTCAAAATGTCTATTGTATTAAATGTTCTAGAATATTTACATATGATTATAATGCATGGTGTGGCCTTTGTCAAACAAATAATTTTAGAAAAGATTTCATAAATTGGACCAGTGGAAATGAAAAAATTGATAGTTTAATTCAGGAGAAACAATTAAAGATTCATAGTTGATATAGTTGAATGGGTACCATATGATAAGCTCTATGATGTTAAAGAGTTAGGAAAAGATAAATTATCTACAACATATTCAGCAATATGGAAGGATGGTCCATTAGAATATGACAAAAAGGAACGTAAATATTCAAGAAGCCAGGATACAAAAATCAATTTAATATCATTTAACCCACAAAATATTGATAAAATTCTAATTTATACAGGAGTATCTCAAAATCCATATACAAAAAATTATATGAATATAGTAGAGGATGAATGGTGTTGTAATAGATGCGGTAAAATAGTTAATAAGTATAACTGTAGATCATGTCAAACAAATGATTTTAAAAAAAAATTAACAAATTGGACCAGTGGAAATGAAAAAATTGATAGTTTAATTTAGAAGAGACAAAAAATAATTCGTACTAATGATATTTTAATTGAATGGATATCATATGATCAGCTCGATGATATTAAAGAGGTAGGAAAAGATAAATATTCTACAATATATTCAGCAATATGGAAGGATGGTCCATTAAAATATGACAGAGATGAATTTGAATATTCAAGAAAACGGAATAAAAGAGTCAATTTAAAATTCTATGGATCACGATATATTGATCTTCTAGCAGATGACCGTTTGACCGACCGGGTTGACCGATCAGTCGTAGGTATTGATGTTTTATTTAATTTAAATAATTAAAATAAAATAACAAATTTTCTTTATTTTAATAGGTTAATAAAAATGAACTTAAAGTATATGGGATATCACAAAATTCAGATACGAAAGATTACATTTTAGTTCTTCTAAATGTCTATTGTAATAAATGCGGTAAAAAATTTACAGATTATAGTAAATGGTGCAGATCATGTCAAATTAATGATTTAGAAAATAATTTTACAAATTGGACCAGTGGTAATGAAAAAATTGATAATTTAATTCAGAAAAATCAATTAAGTACTAATTCTCGTTATGATATAATAGTTGAATGGATACCATATGTTCGGTTCGATGATATTAAAGAGTTAGGAAAAGATGAATTTTTTACAATATATTCAGCAATATGGAAGGATGGTCCGTTAAAATATGACAGAAAGAAACGTGAATACTCAAGAAAACAGAGTACAAAAGTCAATTTAAGATTATATAATTCACAAAATATTAATGGATTTCTAAATGAGATATTAATGGTTAAGGCTACTTCTAATGAACATTTATATGGAATATCTCAAAATCCTTATACAAAAAATTATATTATGTCAATTCTGGATGGACTTCATTGTAATAAATGCGGTACAAAATTTACTTATATTAAATATTGTAAACCATGTCAATTAAATACTCTAGAAAAAAATTTTACAAATTGGACCAGTGGAAATGAAAAAATTGATAGTTTAATTCAGGAGAGACAATTAGAAATTAATAATTATTATGATATTATAGTTGAATGGATACCATATGACCAGTTTGATGATATTAAAGAGATAGGTAAAGGTGGTTTTGCTAAAGTATATTCAGCAACATGGGCTCGTGGTCCATTTTCTTATCCTAAACAAAAGTCATACGATGGAAATGTGTTATATTATTATATAAGAGACCAACACCCGAATAAGGAAGTTGCATTAAAATGTTTACATAACTCGCAAAATATCACAAGCGAATTTCTCAATGAGGTATGTGACTTTTCTGTAAATTCAAAACTAATTATATATTTTTTAACATATTAATATTCTTTCATATTTTAATAGGCTAGATTATATTCAATTGAAGATTATGATGATAATAATATACTTAAAATATTTGGAATATCTCAAAATCCAGATACAAAGGAATACATTTTAGTTCTTGATTATGCAAAAGGTGGAGATTTCAATTATTGGATGAACAAAAATTATAACAATTTTAAATGGTTAGAAAAATTGTATATACTCTTTAGTATTAGTATGGGTCTTAAAGAACTTCATCAAAAGAAGATGGTCCACCGTGATTTTCATACAGGAAATATATTATTAAGCGAAAATACAGATATACGTATTTCAGATATGGGATTATGTGGAGATGTTAGTAATATCAATCAAAGTAATATTTATGGAGTTATACCTTATGTAGCTCCTGAAGTGTTAAAAGGGCAGCTTTATACTCAAAAAGCGGATGTATATAGTTTTGGTATGATCATGTATTTTGTAGCAACTGGAAAACAACCTTTTGCTGATTGTGCACATGATGAGTTTTTAGTATTAAATATTTGTAATGGAAATAGACCTGAAGTTAATATGTCGGAAGCACCAAAATGTTATATTGATTTGATGAAGCAGTGTTGGAATTCTAACCCAGATAATAGACCAAATGCAATTGAAATTTATGAATCAATTGAATTATTTGTTGACAGCTGTGATTCAGGAGTTTTTTCAGAAATTAAAAAGGAACGACAACATTATGAAATTGAAAAACAGATCGAAGAAGCAGAAGAATACAGAAAATTACATCTTACATCATTGGATGAAAATAAACGATTAGTCACTCATCCACAAGCTATTTATACATCACGATTACTTAATCCATTTACAAAGAGTATCCCAAAATATGATAATGTTGACAATAACACAGTAGAAATTATTGATTTTACAAAGTAAGTTTTATAAATTTTATATATTTTATAATTTTTATAATTTTATTTTATTAATCCAAAACCAATTCTTTATACAGATTATAAATCAAAGATGATACGACGGAACGAACATGATAGCATGATAAGTTATATTAAACCTAGCTAGATTGAAAATAACCTATAGTATAGTATTATATTATTTATTCTTATTTTATATATTTGTTCAACACTTGATTATAGAGTACATGTAAAATTTATTTTTACAAAAAATAAAATCAGTTTGTAATTGAGCAAATAGCTTCAAATTTATTTAAATTCCTGATTTAAACTATTATCTTGATTTATCTTGGTCAAAGCTATAAAAATAATAACATTGTAGACTATAATTCTATAGGTAAAATTTCTAATGATTATTTTTTTTTCTATTATACCTTCATTAGGCATCTAAGATTTTTGAAAGATCCCAATGAATATTTATTATTAGCGAAATTTATCAAAGAAGTTGACTTTATGTCTGTTGCATTAAATCTATTCCTCTTTTAGATTACAAATTAATGAAAGAAATTTGAAAAAATAAAATTATTTTTATAATTTACAACGTTTTACTAAATTAATATAAATTGCAATAGGTAATTTTAAGATCGAAATTTATTTAGTAAACCGGTGATGATAAGTGTGACGGTTTTTACTTATGAAAGTTAGTTCGCGCACAGTATTTGTAATTAAGCGGTCAAAGATTGTGTTTTTGAAGGAGCTTTTAATAATTATCTATTTTATTTAATCATGTTGTGAGTTAATATTTATGAGTAACAATATTATAAAATTCTAAAATGCACCTAAAAAAAGGTAATAAATTAATTGTAACTTATTACATCATTATTACTATTAGGATGATCTTCATTTCCGATCCAAATTACTTCGGACTATTAATGTTACACAAAATATAGATGATCCCTATAATTCCGAAATACTCTATTATTTAAATTAAAATTAATTCTGGAATTATGGCACTACAATACATAACTTCTTTTAATTTTAATGGTTGTTTATTTATTTCCTAAAATGGCATTATCAGATGATTAATTTCAGGTGTCAAGATCCTATTCCTTGAAGAAATTTTATCATTATTTATACACTCTTTACTATTACTGTAAATTTATTTATTTCATTCGCTTTAAAAGGGTTTTTATCAGTGATGCGGGGTTCTTGTCGAATATAATTATATCCAAATATGCTGAACATTTATCATGACTTCAGCCGGCTGAGGCGGCTGATCTAGTCATTTGGCATTTAAGGATTCAGTTATAAGTATACAGTACATGGTTAAAAATCTAAACTTGATAAATTTTTGACATGTACCATACAAAATACAGACGTAAATACAAACGTATCACTCATCATTTTACTTCGTATTCTCAGTGTGAAATCCTATTTGTCACTCATTTGATTAATTCTTAACGTCGTAATGCCAGCCAAAAAATCAACAATCTTAGGTATCCCCTGTAAAAAATTGATACAATATTAGTAAGTGATGACAAATAATGGGTGGAAACGTCAATATTAAATAGCTTGGCTTAGCCGGCTAAGGTTAATATTATGGGGGAGTCCATGTTGAATAATTGGCTACGTAGAGTCACGTGACAAATATTATTCAATAACAAAGTGTCTAATAGTAATGGTTATAACCAGTACTACGACTTGGTTTTTTCTGAAACATAAAAAAATAATGGTTAGAACCAGCTCTCGATATAACAAGCTTACAAGCCCTCTGGTAATCTGGTTTACATTTCAAAATTCGTTTAAGATTATGATAGCGAAGAATTTAAAGAATTTGATTTGCCATTCACGAGATTCGAGAGATATCTGATTGATTAAATGACACGTGTTGGGCAAATAAAGCGAGTTCGTTAACCTTACATAAATTAGACAATTACATCAATGTTAAGGATTGTTTGATGGATAATTTCACTAATTGCTTCATTTACCTCATTTTTCTTATATCATTAATGTAAATATAAAGTAAAACTGTAATCCGTATTCTGTAGTCATGCATATAATATCCGGCGATGAATATCTGGCGATAAGACGTAACATGCCGAATATGAGCAAAATGTTTAGCATCATGATCCTATGCATGAGGGCGTAATTATTCCGGATAATTCAGAGTTTAGGCGGCGCAATGGTAAAATCTATTACACCAAATTTTTGTTTGTTTAAAGATTCATATTACCAGTGTTACACCGGTGTAATGCTGAATTGGCTGTAATATTTCGGCATGGCTTTGAACATTCACTCCCACGTATATCATGTTCCTATCGGATTTGTACTTTATTTTAAAAATTATACATAATAACTTTTAATTTTAATGGTTGTTTCTTCTGATGTTTTATTTCTGGCATTATCAGGAGAGAAGTGATTAATTTTTTGTAATTTGAGATGTCAAGATCCTATTCTTTGAAGAAATTTTATCATTATTTATATCACTCTTTTTACTGTAAATTTATTCATTTCTTCGCTTTAAAAGGATTTTATCAGTGATGCGGGTTCTCGTCGAATATAATTATATCCAAATATGCTGAACATTTATCATGACTTCAGCCGGCTAAGACGGCTGATCTAGTCATTTGGCATTTAAGGATTCAGTTATAAGTATACAGTACATGGTTAAAAAATCTAAACCTGGTAAATTTTGCTAATTTTCGACATGTACCATACAAAAACAGACGTAAATACAATACCGGACATGAACCGGATAGTCCAGTCTAGGACAATCCAATGATTCTGTCCATATCCCATAACAATACTACTGAGTGGAATTGAAGAAAAACCTAACACCTAATTCCCTTAACCTAATCCTAACCCTAATCTAACCCTATTTCTAAAGAACTTGCATATAAATCCAGCTAACATTTTTTCTTAGGTAAAGGGAAAGAGTAAGGGAATAGTAGGGGAAAGGAAGAAAATGAAGGAGGATAATTTACTTCATCAATTTCTCCTTTATGATAAATAATTTTCTTGAAAATTATCATTTCCAATAGCATATATGTAATATCAACATTTATTTTTTTCTTTATTAAGAACGTTTTAACGTTTCTTTTACTTTTTTTTTGTAGTAATCTAAGAAGAAATATGAGTACTAAACCTCAACATGAATGGTTGAGTGAAAACATGATATCAGAACATTTATGCTTTAATCTGGAATATATTATGAGCGTCTTCCAGAAAAAAGTTAAATACCATACACCTATTTCTAAGCATATGCCCATTGACCTAGTTATTATGTACTGTATACCCTGTATAGTACCTTACGCACAGAGAATTTGCTATACAATCTCCCTATAAAAAATTTTTCAGAAAAATGATCACGTGTCAGTTTCTTTGGAATAAAACTAGAAAATGATCATTTATCAGAGTTTTTTCCAGAATTTTTTTTTATAGGGTCTGGAAATTCTGGAAACAGAGTAGTAGGACGTTCACAGTAAAACTGTGGCCACAAAGTACTCTGAATCCAAAAAGTTCTCAATGAGAACAAATCAATTGCATGAAAAAGATGTCAAAAAAAATTGATGTTGAGGAAAATACATAACTGTTTCTCCTAAAGAACAGTAGACCTCAACAGGGACCAAAATCGGTATCTAAGTCATACATTAATCGACTAGACGCTAAAAGCCCCCTTCACGGCATTTAATAAATAAATAGTACCTTAATTTGCCATTTTTATACAGATGCTGACATATAAATGGATGTAAACGTACCAAAAATAAGATTTTAAACGTACGAGAAAATAAATTAAACGTATGAAAACGTATGAAAAAAACGTATGAAAAAAAACGTATGAAAAAAATTGAGACAAAAGGAAAAATATAGGGTATACTGTATATGTACTTTTTTTTCCGAAAATTGATACAAACTTTATTCATCTTGTATAATTATTGAGTCACACAGTTCAGAGAATATTAACACGTCGTGTTTTACGCGTTTAAGGCTAAGTGTGGAAAGTATATTCAAAATTTTTCATATCAATCAGACACAATTATTACATATCATATTATGAATATCCATATTTGCTAAATTGGAGAAACTTGATCCTAACTGACTATGATAATATTGTATAGGAAGACCGATTCAATGTTGACTAGAACCTGCATTCTGATATAACTAGTAAATTTATTCAATATTATAGTGTATGAGTAATGTTTCCTTATATTAATAGTTATTGCACGGGTATCGTGCTTGATAAGTGGAACGATGTGGCACGAAGTGCACATACCATTAACAATCACGCCCGTGCAATAACACACAATTATAAAATTAATGAAAAATTAACGCATTGTAATCTGGTGTGTTATAGACGACAGCTTTGCAAATTCACATCATATCTCATAGTACGTTCGAATCTGACAGATTCGAATCTCAAATTCTATATTCGAATATGAATATCCTAATTTCAACTTGAAGCTCTCCAAAAAAATCTATCAAATCACATGATACCAATTAGGAAGTAAAATCATTGAAGCTAATTAGTCCTTGGTGTAGTTTGTACTGTATGAGAGTTCTACTTAGCTATATAAAAAAGTTATCGAAGCTGAAGTAGGACAGAATTAGAATTATTAGAATTCAAGAAAAATCATGTACTATACAGTACTATGGATAATGCTAATATACTTTCAAGTGACTATCTCGGGTCATTATAATCTATTACCAATTAGACGAATATTGGTATTAGAATATTTAATAATCAACAATAAAGAGGATAAACCATTGACTTGATCGCATGCAAATTATTTATCATCATACGAGAGATAGGCATGTCTTTTTAATGCTTTTAGCCATGTTGGTCACGCATGGTCATGCTGATTGACGCAATACACTAGTCCTAATAGTCTGGATAAATACAGAATGTTTATGGAAACAATAACATACAAGATCAGAGATAATCCTTATCCGCTCTCGGTGATGGTTTTCACGTAGTTTAAAAGGAGTTAGTTGAAAATTGGAAAGATTTCAAAAAAAAAATTTATCGCACGGATTCGCTCGTAAAAAGGGTTTGTTTATTTTAAGATAATACGTACAGTATCTTTATTAAACAAAACAATTATGAAATATTGTACAACGGTATTTAAACAGGTTATTAAATTTCCCTGTTTCAGAGCTTTTGTTACTGCGGCAAATCCCATAATATGTTTACTTGTGTGATAAACTTTTTCCTTATTGTCCGCATTATTATTTTACCCATTTGATGCATAATGACAATACTGTCCAATCAAAATGATTGGAGGAGTATATCCTTTTTTTATGTCACAATTACAATTTCAAGGAAAAAAAAAAAAAAAATTTTTTTTTAAATACTTTCGAATTTTCCCGTCCGTTAAAGAATTTTTAAGAAAGTGTTTTAAAACTTTTTACCAAAGAGGTTAGTAATTTTTCTATAACTCCTTTAAAATTGGGTTATAAAAAAAAAATTGATTTCAAATATTTGGTAATTTTTTACCCTCAAATAGTTATTTAGTTTCTTTGAATTTAGTTCCTTTGGAACAGGTAGAGAAAGAATTTTTTGAATTATATATTAATGAAAATATTTTCTTAATTCATTTTATCGAATTAAAAAACGTCATAAAAAATATTATATATATATATTATATACATATACGTATATTTTTTTGATTGATGAATTATAATTAATCACACAAATCTCGTAAGAAATTTTTTTCTTTGAATTAGTGAGTAAGTTAGTGAATGAGTGAGTGTAACATTTTTAAAACTTGTTACAGGATTTTATTTTGGGGGAGTATTTTTTTTATTTTTTTAAAATATATTATGGCAAATCTGATCATGATTGCAGAATGAAAGGTCTTAAAACCTTTTATTTTGCGTCAAGTTCTTACACCACGAATTTGTCATGATATATCATTTATTTCTTAATTTCATATATTAACCACATTGTACATTTTTTTTTTTTTTTTTTTTTAATACAAAAAAATAGTATCAAATACAAATCTCAAAAGGTTCGATTATTATTTTTTTTTTAAAAAAAAAAAATTAATTAATTAGTTTATTTTCAAATCATTTTCATTCTCTTCTGGTAAATAAGACAAAAAAAAAAAAATAATAATAACTCAATATTAGATTGCTAATATATTTATTTATTTATTTATTTATTATTTTAGGAACGGGAATCACACAAAGCTTGTATTATTTTTTTTAGAGTAAAAAAAAATTTTTTTTTAACATGTCAATTGAAACCGAGAGAAATCCTTGTCCTTATTGTTCAACACAACTTCAATATTGTTATATTAGTTTATCCGAGAAGATGCTGATATGTGCGAAGAAAAAAGTATATTGTCTTCATTTTTTTTTTCTTATAATTTATTATTTTTTTTCTAAAAAAAAAAATTATTTAAAATTATTTTTTATTCTTTTTTAGTGTCCTTTTCCGTTCGATGTTGATGATGTTTCGCCCTACATTATAAAAGTTGATTCTTTGGTAAATACTAATAGCTTTGCTGAACCATCATCATCGTCATCATCGTTATCACCATCATCACCATCATCACCTTCGTCATCATCATCATCGAGCCTGCTGGACGAAAAATTTCTTAGTTTAAAAACACCATCAAAACCTACCTTAAATTTGACAAAATCTGTAAAATCAAAAAGCAAATCTCATAATTCATCAAGCACCGAAGGATCTTTACTAAATCCGATCAGATTATCAAAAACTAAATCAAATGGAGTATTATCAACTCAATCAGAAAAAGAAATTTCTAATTTGCCTAATTCAGAATCTTTCCCAAATGTGAACATTGAGATGTCACCAACTGAATCTAATAACTTATCAACGAACCCAAAATCTATTAATGCAGGATCAATCACACAATCATTGACTCTATCAAATAATGAAGAACCTCTCAACCCATTTAATAAGGTTATTCCTGAAGAGACCATTTCAAATTCGGACAATAATAATACTATTACCTTGAAGACTTTAGGAGTCACGTTAAAAGTTGATCAACCAAATAAAAATATATCACAACCAAATTCATCACAATTCAATGGATTATCGACCGATACGATAAAAAATAAATTTTCGATCACAGCTTCAGGTGCTGATGCTGATGTTGATGCTGGCGTTGACGACACTGCTACAACTACTGCTGCCGAGAAAGACTTGATATCATTATTTAATATGAATGATTTTCCAGTTACGACCGTTGAAGGATCATCAGCAAATACTACCAATTATTTAACAGGAAATGGTTTGTTAAATGCTAATACAACAAGCGAAGTTGATGGCAGTAATGCCTTAACAGTTGAAGAATATTCAAAAATGTTATTTGGACAATCGGACATTGATATTAATTTCGATTTAGATAACATGTTACCGAATTTCAATACAATGGACGTAAACATGCAAGGTAATGATGCAAATATGGAAAATATGGAAAATATGGATAACATGGATAACATGGATTTGGATGAATTATTTGGAACGTATGATTCATTAGAATCAAGTAAAATATCAGGTAATGGGATGAATTTGGATTTTGATTCCTTCATGGCAAGTCTGGGTGGCGATCTCGCGGAAGCAGAGATTCCGAATGACATGTCAGGTAATAATTTGAACGTAGACTCAAATACCGTATTAGTAAATACGAATGGAATGAATGAAATTCAAAATAATACGGTGAATGGACATTTAGATATTTATGCTGAAATGGTCAATGGAAACAGTAATGAAAAGAGTGAAAATAATAGTATGTTAGTAGATATGACATTTAGGAGTGTAAATGGGCAGAATGGATATCATGAAAATATTGAAAAAATAAAAGATGGTGTAAATGGTGTGGTGGAAGATGAAGGTAAGAATGTGAATGTAGTTGGAAAGACGATTAACGGAGATTCCGTTACATTAAATATAGGGGAAAAAGAAGTTGATCAAAAAAAAGATTGTGAAACATAGATATATTTTATCTAAAAAAAAAAAATTTTATAGTTATTTAAATAAAAGAAAGAAAATTATTTTTTTTATATTTATCCTCGTATTTAGATAATTTCAATTGAATGTATTATAAGGGAAGCTTAGAGAAAGTTGGTTGTTTTGGATTAACGCGAGAGATGAGAAAGATGAGAAATAAGAATTTCTTTTTATTTTATTATTATTATTATTATTATTATCGTTTGTTAAGAATGGTAGGACTATATTATAATCCATTACAGTATTACGCATTAATGATCTTATAGCTAAAAGAATATTATTAGATATTAAATAAATAAAGATGAAAAAATTCATTATCATATTTTACATATTTTAAATATTTTATAATTTATATATAATGAAAGTGACACTAATTAAAAATTATTTGTTTATTTGTTAATTGCTTGTATATTTATTGTAATTTGTTATTTGTAAATATACACAACAAGTATATCGAATTATCGATCCGATAAAATAACTTGAAATTACAATTACTAGCCACAATAATGAATAATGGATAACCTAAACAGAAAAGCTATGAACTTAACTAGCCACAAATTAATAGCCGCATAAGCGCATAAGCGAATCTTTTGTATACCTGATCGCTATAGTAAAATCTAATAAAATGATTATCAGATATCGGATAAATCATTAGATGGAACATATATATATTATATAATTTACAGTATACATATATCGAATTGGATATTAAAAACGTGTAATATCAAATTATTATAATTTTGTCTTCACAATTATTATAATAATTCGAAAAAATAAGCGAGTTTTATTTACCTTTTATTCTTTTTGTTAAACGACACTTACAATACATGATATGGATCAATTAATTTTGTATTGATAAATAATTACGTGAATTAAATATTATTTTTTTTTTTTTTATTCGAAAAAAAAAAAGAATATATAAAAAAAAAATAGAGATTCAAGCTAGTTTCTGGGCATATACACGATGAGATTTTAAATAGGTTCTCGTAGTTTCTGCCTCTTTAAGACAGGCTTGGATTTTCTCATCAAATTCTTGAGGCGTAATATTCATTTCTTCAGCAAGCTCTGTTCTCATGATACGACATTTTCCGGCAAAGATATCAATTGCCTAAAAAAAAAAAAGAAGAAATGATTAGTAGTAATAAGTGATTTACAAAAAAAAAATTGATTTTTTTTTAAGGAAAATTTACCAGTTTTCCGAATTCACCTCCCCATCCACCTCCAATAGGGCTATATTTTTGTTGATGATGTATATTATATAACTCTCCAGTTTCTAACAAAATCTCATCCAATTTTTCACCGATCATTCCATCAATTTTGCGAGAAGTGTTATAATTCGTAACTAATAATAAAATAAATCAACAATGTTTGAAATTTACTTTATAATATTTATAATAAAATAAAAAATTACTAACTTGAATTCGTAATTTCTCTCATAATTTGACCTTCATTTACGTAATGCTCATCCACTTCGCAATGTTCAACGAAGCCATTGGGTTTTGTCACTCTGATAATTTCCGGAATGATTTTTTCTTTCCATTCAGTAACACTAAAATCCATAAGAGCGTTTCTACAATGTACATAATCAAAGTAATTATCTTCGAAAGGTAAAGGACCAGTCAAGCTGCATTGAAGAAATGTGGAGTTTGGGGTTAAATCTTCAGGATCTTGAGGGAATATGAGTAAATCGTCGATTCCGATAAAGTGAGATAAAGGATAGTTTTTCGACATATCTATTACCCATACGCCGGTACCACATCTTTTTGAATTCAATATAAAAGATTTATAAATTAAACGTTTTTTAATGAATAAGAAAGAATGAAGTGAGAGAATATATATACTCTACATATTTATTTGTATTAGTCTTACCCAACATCGAGAACTTTAGCACCATCTTTTTGAAGGATTTCAGTGCAAGGTGCAGAATAATCTGTCGTCCATATATAACGAAACAAACCACTTTGTAAATTTAAGTAACTATAGTCTTTCGATGTTGAATTTTGGTGGTTCGTGATTACATCAGAATGTTCCATAATGATTTCTTTTTATTTTTAATTAAGGACTTTAATAAAAATATCAAGGAACCTTTTTTTATTTATAAAAGGTAAAAGGCTAGAGGAGGGGAATGGAGGTGGGGAGGGAATGAAAAAAATTCCGATGAAATAAGATATAACCACGCGAAATTGGAAAGAAAAAAAATGAAAAATAAAACATTTTTTTTGTACTTAAATAATTTTTTATAATGCAGGAATGTTTTTTTTTTTTTTTACTGTATTTTTCCAGTAATCCCAATTTAGAAAAAAGAAATTATTTTTAATTAATAATAAAAAAATAATAATAATAGATTATATATATAATATATATATAATAAATTGAAATAAAAGAAAAGTGTATAAAAAAAAAACGAATTCAGGATCAAATAAAGACCATGGAAATAGTAAAATTACTTTTTAAATGATCTTAAGCCTTTATATGATAAATTTTGTAACAATCATCACATATTTATGTAACTGTTTTGATGCCGCCTCTATAAAAATAATTAACGTTCATTACGCCGATTTTTTTTTTAAAAAAAAAAAAAAAAATCCTTAATATTTATTTATTTACTTGCATAGCATAATTTTTAATTTAGAAGGACTGATAAAATCAATTGTTATATTAGGAGGTGTGCATTCTTTTGAACTTGCAGAACTTGCAGATAAATAAAAGCCTTAGTTCCAAATAAGTGATATGCTGTACTTGGAGGCTTTTCTTTACTTGTTTCAGTATCAGAATCCGAAAATTGGATTTATAATGTTTGTCCTAATATAGGTTTATTGCATTTTCCACTTAATTCAGTAAAATTCACGAGTAAATCCTTAAAAGAATTCCTTAATTTATTTTAAATTGTTTTTTTTTTTAATCATGTCCTACCCAAAAAAAATCCGGTTACAAAACAAGACCATTATTTTATCAAACAAATAATCAATCTTCGAAATTTATTGGATACAATTTTTTTTTTTTCAATTACTTGAATTTTAACTGAAATGTTATTGAATGTACTATATTTTATTTTGACCTAGTTTCAATCAAAACCCCATAAATTATTTAATCTCAGATAAATTTTTAGATTTGACAGGTTTTTTTTTTTTTAATAAACAAATGCAAAATGAAATTAAAAAAAGTAAGAGGTATGTTTTGTATTACGGTATTACCACGATGTAAAAAATTCCATATTATTCCGCACTTTTTGCACTTTTTTTTATTTTATTATTTTTTTCTTTTGTGGCGCGGTTAATTTTTAATTTTTGTGGCGCGGTACGCGTAAAAAAAAAGTTATTATTAAAATCTAATTGCATATTATAATTTTGATACCATAAACATATATATATATATATATATATGATATTACCACAAATATATGAACACCATGTTACTATATATATAATTAACAAATATTATCCCGTTGGTCCGGTTGATGGGTTGATATCCGTTGTTTCCAGCAATTAATCCAGCAATCGACCAGTAATATTTATTATACCGGGGCTAAACGGCTACACGCCTATACCATTGAAAACGGCGATAATTGTAATTTAATTTTTAAAATGGTTAATAAGAGAAGATTTGACCACAGTTACATGGCTACTTACAGTCACCTAATCATGATCAAACTAACTTGAATGAGCAGAATGGGTAAAAATATTATAAATCAAAAATATGAGGAATAATTTATTTTTTTTTTTCATTGTATAAAAAAAAAATGGGCAAATTTTTTAAAGATAATCGAATTTTTATTAATCTAAATTGTCTATAGAAAGTTCTATTGTATTCTATCGATTCTATCGGGATTTATTTGATTAACAAATCAAAAATTTAAATATACGATTGTGTGTTGCATATTATTTTGTAATCAAAAAAGTTGTTTTAGTCATATTTGGTTAACATGGTTAATATGGTTAATATAGTTCAAACTAATTTAACACCATACCTTTACTGTTCATACTATGATGAAGAATTATTTTCTTTTCACGTGTTAAATGACCTTTTCTTAGTGTAGTTTAGTGTAGCTATGAAGAACAATGCATTATTTTATTGATATTTAACTGAAACTTATCCCCGATTTCCGATCTCCGATTAGAATTTGTAAATTTGTAATATCGATGTCGATTTATCGATTTATATTTTTATTTTTTTACTCTCTCTCTTTTTCACATCGAATCCAAAAAAATTGATTTTATTATTTAAGGAAAATCTTCCCTAAATAATTATTTCGAAAAAAAGGTTGTGATGATCGAAAAATGCACAGACTTTTTATAAGTCCTAAGAAGGTTAGATCAATTTCCCAAACAAAGCGTAACTTTGTAATAAAGTTGAAAAACCTAATCTCTTAGGTTAAATTAAAATTTATTAATTATTTAATCTTTTTTTTTTTTTTTTAATGTTCGCGGAATTTAAAGCCTCAAAACTAGAGGTGGCGTCCAGATTTTATAGATAGTGACCCACATAAATAAATTTTTTTTTTTTTTTTAAACTAGTCTTAAAAGAAAAATGACAGGGACTTTTTTGATGCACACGGGTAACTTTTTTACAGAAATCAAAATGAATATCATAATATAATACCCATCAAAAAATCCGAGGAGATCATCACAAGATTTTAAAGGATGAAAAATTTTATAAAAAAACAATATTATGAAAGAAACGAATAAATTATAAAAGAAAGAAGTGTAACCAACTTTCATTATATATTCTAAAATTCCGAATAGTTAATTATATATGGTCATGATTATATATACATAAAATTTTTTTTTGGGGGGATTGTTTTTCTTGTTTACGAAATGTATTATATAATAAAAAAAAGATGCAGGATTCCATTTAAATAAATATGTTTTTTCATTAAATGTTTTTTAATAATATTATTACCAAATACTTTTTTATTTTATTTTATTTTATTTTATTTTGTTTTATTCTTGTTTCCTTTTTTATTTATTTTATTCCTTCATTCTATTTTTTTATTCTCTTTTCCTTTTTTTCTTTTTTTCTTTTTTATTTTTTTTTTATTTTTTATTTTATTCTATTCGGTTTTCCTTTTTTATTTTATTCTATTCGTTTTTTCTATTCTATTCGTTTTTCCTTTTTTTTTTATCTTATTTTATTTCTTTTCCTTTTTATTTTTTATTTTATTTTTTATTTTTATTTTTTTAAAGGGTAAAAGGGTAAAAAGGTAAAAAAAGAAGTTAATCCAATACATAATGAAGACGCCATATAAATATTTGTATTATAAATAAACCGAAA